AGTTGTTAAGTTTTTCTCTGTCAACGAAAACGTTTCCAAACACCGACCAAATGAGCCTAGAATTTCAACAAGAATTCTCGGCAGTAAAATTAGTCCCTTTAACCCACTTGAAATCTTTTCGGTTTCTTCATTAGATTTGCTGCAGCTGCCATAGCGGGCATTTTGGATCATCGAACTGAGAAAGTTCCCGTCGAGCCAAAAACAAAGTTTGATGAAGTGGCAGAAGAGAAAGCTCTTTATTTTACACGACAATCCTGATCGTCTCTATCGTTTGACACTGCTGGGTACTTTTAACCAGAGCGGTATAATAATAATATTCCGGTATCCGGGAATTGAACAAATACAGTGAAAAATGCAGTGCGGGATCGAGAAACGTTAACGGATACGGGATTTGACTGCTACCTGAAGCGGAATTCGCCAAATTAAGGCAGAGGATGCAGGAGTGGCAAAAGAAAACGATATTCACTGACGATAGCAATGATGAAGTTCGGGACGCGTATTTGCGGATAAAGGAGAGGGAATGTCCCAGTTATCTGCCGCCTTGGTTCTCCGAGGATAGTTTTGAACGTAATTAATTAATAGTCAAAAGATGAAATAAAATCGCGGTAAAGTAAAGAGAGAACACCAAAAATTGGCTTATAGTCATGCATGTATCGACGTTACGAAGACAACGTCTTCGTTCAAATATTGCCCTTATTGATCAAACCCTCTGTTTAGAGCACTTGCTTCCCATCCGTCCTTTGTAATTATTAAGGTCGTTTATTCTGGAAGACTTAAACAGTATGGAAATGCGAAGTAGCAGCCTTCCTTTAAATCCGTGTGTAATCGTAATTTTACCCATAAAGCACCGAGGAGTTCACAGAAACCTCCTGTTCAGAGTGTCCGTGCTTTCCGATCGAACTGAATTTGGCCTTGACATTTTGTTGTCTTTATTTTCACAGGAATCGTCTTCGAGGTTGGAGCGTAAGCTTATGTGTCTTGGAGACGTTCAATAACATTTACAGGGCCCTTGATCAGATGCGTAGTAGTAGCGTTATTCCAGACACGGAAACGAACGAGGAGATGAGACAAAGGAGTCACAGAGGAATGCAAATGGTTTGTTTAGGACTTGCACTACTATCTTTGCTGAATGGTATTGTCTGTTGTTTAGCCAACTTTGAACACAGCAGAGGCGTTAAGATAATCGCATGGGCGAGGTTAATACGCGCGAGTAAGCGAGCGAGCGCGCGAAGACGCGCGAGGGAAAAGAAGAGAAAAGAATAAAGGGACTGCAACCCTTTTTGTAAACCGTCGAGGTCAATTTCTTCACCCACCAAACGTTTGAATCAGTTAAATATACACCAATCTTGCTCAAACATACACCCTCCTTCTTTCTGTCTTCTCCTCGTTTCGCGTTCTCTCGCTGCTTGCACGTGACTTTGGTCGCCACGCTTAGACAATCCTGGAGCGACCGGTTATCGCGTAGCTTACCACTGCATACAGGCTTGGCATCCTTTTTGTCGCCTTTTCAGGGTTTGTGCAAGATTTACCAGTCTGTATTGTTTGCACATGAATTTATTAACCCTCGAAATCTAATGAGTTTCCGATCCACGGAAAGTTCTTTTAAGTAGGAAAACTACCGGGAATTTAAAGTTCTTGTTCAGTTTGCTTTCTTTCCTCTTTGCGTAACATATTGTAAAATATTTATACCGTGAAGACGTTTGTTAAGATCTAACTATTGTCTGTCCTTTTTTATTCATCCTAGGTATAAAGACTTACTGGGTAACCTGCCGCAGGACGTAAAAGATGATCGATACTGCACTATCGTATTAAATCGTATCGCTGGTTATGGATCTGTAAGTATCACTCTTTGTAACTATAAATCACCTAACTTTAGATTAGTCAATCATGGCTTTGACACCCGGATACTCTTGCAGTGCCTTCCATGACTGGAAACAAGTTAAAGTGTAAAACGGTTTATGACACCATGTTGCCGAAAACACTAAACATCAAATACAGCTAGAAACGGAATGTTTATGAAGAAAAAAAGACTTTTTCTAGGATAGATAGTCTGACGAGACACCACTAGCCATCTCCAAAGCACAACTGCAAGACAAAAAAGTCTGGAACAGTTTCTCACGTTCTTTTATTTTTGTATTCAGCTGGAAGGGAGGAAAATAAGCAGCAATCAGTTCTTGAAAGTCTTATCGACGCTTCGTGTCTGGGAAATCTGCGCCCCTGATATCAATGCCGCTGTTGAGGTGAGTATAGTGGACCTGACGCACTGAAAAACAGTGATAATGGATACGTTACTTCCTAGATGCCTCAAACCTCTGTTTCAAAGCGAGGCTACCTGCGAACCCAGTGGTATGAAAATGATTTTTTTCTATACAAACAAAACTCATTTTCAGGACACTAAGGTTTTCCCCGACAGCTTAGCCTAGTTTGAAAGTGAGAGTTTTTGTTACTCAGAAGTGGCCCATTGTGATAATGCAAGGTTTTTCTATTTTTCTGTTTTGGTTTTTCTTTTGCTCGGATGGTCACTTTGCTTGTGAAAGCATTTGACAAGAAAAATTAAAAGTAACGTAATTCGATGTTTCGATGTTCTAAAAGCATTATCAAGACTGAAAACTGTTTAGTAAACCGTTAACAACTTTGACATTTAACGGTTTTCATTCACGATAACGATGTTAGAAACACAACGTTACTTTTAATTTTTCTTGTATGTTGTTCTGGCAAATATAAATTTAGATTACAATTTGCGTCAGGACGTTGTCGCAAATTGCCTAGAGCGTCGATTAATTATTAAAAAATGCTGCAGCCCTGATTACAAAATACTTAGCTTCCATTCATTACAAGGTATCACAACTCCTATCACACATTGCCTCCGTTCGCAAAGGGAAGGGGATGGGTATTTGGACGACATCTCCTTTTCTTTTCCTTTCGAACGCTATATCACAAAATGTGTAAACTGTTACAAAATTTCACAGGAGAGTAGCGCTTTTAATGATTGCGGTGTATTGGAGCGATCTGTCGGCTCTATTGTCGCACTTTAGCGCCTGAATTCGGAACGTGGGCTTGTGGTTTTTTTAATTTCTGAACGCCCTATCGAAATGGTTGGGGTGCTGTTTATGGAAAATAATAACACATTTGTGCCTACTTTTTTATTAACAGTTTGTTCGCGAAAAAATTGTGGAAATGTCTGAACTGGAATTTGAAGATTGGTTGAACGCCAAGTTTCCACAGCCACCAAGACCGGTCTCGGCACCTCTACCGAGGAGCACCGGTTACCGTTATTAGACCTGAACTTCCTTAACACATGCAGGAGCTGTATTAATACTAATGATGGAAGGACTGGATCTATGTTGACCGGCACTCTACTGTATAGATTTTGTGACGACACGAAAACAATCGGATATAGTAATGTATGAACATCTATCCGGCGATGTGTGACGCCCACTTTCTAGCTCGGCGCGCCTCGCAGCTTCCCTCCGTTACAGAAACCGCGTCTCAATGACTGTTTTTATCTCTCCAGATGATGGTTTTCGTGCCTTTCAAAAATATAATAAAGGTATCCGGTATAGTGTGTATATAGCCTCAATACTTCGGCGAGTTTCGCAAAAAAAAATTCATTTTCAAGAAATTTTTTCGTCTAAGAAAGCCTCATAAAGACCGCTATGTTTGATTGCAACTGATAAAGACTTTGTCTCTCACGAACGGAGTATACCGTCTTACTCTGATGAGCAGCAGCCGATTAAGCTCTGTGTCCTTTTGAAGCACCTTACTTTTGCTCCTGAATAGCAATGAATATTGGAGTAGTATTGTGAAGTAAAAATATAAAGCTTTATGTTTGGCTTAAAACCAAATGAGAGCGGTAATCTAAGTGCTAGCTCTTTTCTTTATTTCATTTAGTAAAAAATCAATAATGCTCTGTGCGTCAAAAACCAATTTTATAACGTCATAAATATTAAGCACCTCGCTTGTATACGTACGTAGCAGACCAGCAAAATCCGCAGTCTTTCTACGTTTATAAAAGATACCTATTTTCATTCCATAAAAAATGTGTTTTATAGTTTTGAAAAGTTACTGCTGGACATATTTTATACAGATTTATTTATACATGGTTTTTAGCGGAATGTATAAATAGTTTATAGAAGTCAGTTCTTAGTTTTACGAAAGATTTGTAATAAAGAAAGTGTTAGGATATTCTCACGTTGCCTTTTTTCCCCAAAACTGATCAGTGACGATTCAAGTTTTGACCCTGAGGCCATTGACATTGAAAATTAATCATACCAAAGTTCAGTTTCTTTTGATTCGAGTATTTTTTTTTTTGCTGGGAAAATAGAACATAATATTAGAGCACGACTTCTAGTGAGCAATATTTGAAATAATCCCCTCCCTCGAATAATCATTCCGTCCAATAATCGCCCGTTTGTTCCGGAAAACAGAAGTAATTAATCGCCAACGGTATTATTCGAGGAAATTCGGTAATCATCGCTACTGTTACGAAACCAATTTCTTTCCATCAAGCCTCGTTGAAACAACTTCAATTCTGTGAAGTATTTTTCCTTTTCAACTGCTATAAGTTGCTTACTTTCTTGCAAGAACGTTAAAAAACACCATTGAACAGTTCTCTTAGTCCTAATAGTAATCCTTAGGTGGAACTGTAGAGATTCATTCAATATCGAACGAATGCAACATCCTGACTCAAGGTAGATTTGAAAATTATATCCCCAAAGTCAGTCGAATAAAAACTCACTCACTTTCACCCTCAAACACACCTTTTTATTCACTTATTATCAGGCAATTGTTACATTTGTTTGGCAACATTTCATGAAAAAATCTTTTCTGGCCTGGTTTTTCAGTTACAAAAAAAAAAAGGAAATCAGTGCACTGTTTTAATTTCCATTATTATTTTCATTAATTAATACTCTGCTAAGCGATTTTATTTAGTTTTTCCCTTCACCATCGGATTTTTTAAAATAGGATAAAATGCATCTGATTTCATGTGTCTGACAGATCTATGTTCCATCTTGAATGATGGTGACTTTGATGAACTTGATCCCAACTCTCTCTCCTTTGTTCTCTTTGTAGGCTTCCAGAATAAGCCCCTTGTTTAGCATCAATCGCTTATTGTAGCCAACGGTCTTCAAAAAGCCTCCGTCATGCGCGGTGTAACACGAGCCCCAGCGTTCATCCAATTTGAGTGTGAACACAAACTGACCGGGATAGAAAGAGTCACTGGGCTTGGGAGTGTAGGGTCCATGCATTAGGGAGGATAACTGTGTGCCAGAGGACCCTTCAATTTTATAACAGGGAGCGGAGTCGCCATAGTTCCCCTTGTCACAAGTTTCAAACCCAATAAAGTTGGTACCATCTGAGATTCCATATCGGATATCGCTGTCGTGCTTCTTTCCGATGTTGACGTCATGTGCTGCGATAACCTCGACAGTCAGCGGTGTATTGGGCTTCAAGAAACCAGCAGGGATCATGGGAACTTTTAAGAGAGCAGCGTTAGTCACAGAACCTGCATAGAATGTCAGCTGTTGAGCAGTTAATGTGCGAGAAGTGTCGATGTAGGACGCATGAGCCTCCAACCATGTTGGAGTCATGGTCTGATGGTAGATCACTCTTGCCTGTAAAATAATAACAAACACACACTCACACAACATAAATTCAAAAACTCCAAACTGACCCAGCGGTCAATTTTTGAATAACGAAAGATGCGATGTCCAGCTTCTAGCTGTGTGTGTATGGATGAAATCCTAGGATGTGACCGATCAAATGAAAACCTTCAATGAGCTGTATGAGGTTATAATTTTTTCTGTATGTTATGCGATAGGCCTATATAGAATATTTTACAATTTTCAGTACAGCCACTTCCACGACGAGTGATCCAGTGAAACGGTTAAGAAGATTCAGGGGAAGCATTATTCGCAATGCGTTTTCTTAGGAATTTAAAATCATTTTGGATACGAATTCATCGGAAAGGCTGCCTCTTCTCTGTTTAAAATATCAATAAAGCGGTGATGGTAACCAAAGGACAATTAAGATAATTTCTATTCAAAAGAAAGATAGTTCTAATCGAAAAGGGCACTGATATATATAGCGAGTGTACAAGGCTACCGCTCTGTCTAACACTGGAAAAAAAGCTGCCTCCTAGATCCACAGGCTTTCCTAATGTTTAATGGGAGTACGGAACAGGCGAGAAGTCCGAGAAGAGGATGATCGATGGGAACGACTCAAACGACTGGGAACGAGGCTGGGAAAAAAAGTTAAAGGGCCCTGGACACAAGGCGAATCTCTCGGGTCGTTCCCAGTGTACCTTTGCTCCAGAGGAGTCTGCTGAACACGATGACTGCAGACAACAGGAATGAATAGCCTGAGGGCAAAAAACAAGAAAAATGCATTTGAAACGCACACATCGTTAAACACTGACTGAACTTTGGTCTTAATCAAAAATATAAGTAGTGTTCACTCGGTTAGTTAGAAGTATTTCAGAAGGTCTTTAAAATGCGCGTTAAAACAAAAATCATTACATTTATCGTTTGATAGGCACATTTCTCAGTATATTCAGCTACAGGTTTATTTCAGTCTATGGGAATTAGTATTAATGTTGACGTTATTCAAGCAAGCATGAAATGTAAATGCGGTCATTTGATTTAACTAATTAATAAACTAGAAATAAACCTTCATACGAGAGACATTAAAGTAAACTTAATACAAATGAATCAAGTTTCGAGGTAAGCTTTTCGAATCTTTTCAAATCTCAGTTTACTTATAGGCTATGTTGAAACAATCCCTTAAGGACGTCGGGTCTTCACACTTTTTCCAAACAAAATAAAAATGAATAGTCTCAAAATCAAGACTGAGAGTCTATTCAGCATCCCCACTTGATATAAGTCAGCCTCTATTTGAAAAAAAATGTTCCACTGTGTCCTTGCGAATGAATCGTAAGATAATTTATGAATTAGTTGTGAAAGTTTTTTAATAACATTGAAATTACGGCACAAGAAAGGAAGGTTAAGGACTCGGAGATATTAGCCATGCGTTTCTATGGGACAAATGAGGTTTCGCGAGAACAAAATTTTTATCGTAAAAGTGATCAGCGTTTTTGAACTGCAACTAATTAAGGTCGACTTGATGAAAAACGTTAATGCTTAACTATATAGCACTGTAGCTCTAAGTATTCTTAATTTCACCAAATTTCTGAAAATAATCATAGGAAACTGCACGATCGTTCGTTGCCTTTAGTTTTGTATCGTACTAAATAAAAATCTCACTGTAATTTAAGGTGAGCTTAACTTACAGGACAAACAACCCAATCAACGACAAGCAAAAATTCCAGTGCTTGAAATGAGGGCAAAATCCTTCATCATATTCTTTAGAGAAAATTTTTTTGACGCTCTGAACTGCAGGTAAAGGGCATCGTTCCACAACTTCATACAATTACTGTGAATCACTTTTCCTCCGTTTGATTAAATTTACAACAAGAATTTTTCCTTGCAACTTTCTTTGTGATCTCACAAACAGGAAGAGGGGCCCTAGGGACGATGTTATCATCTCACCCGAGTGAACCTGGGTTATTTTAAAATACCGTTAACAAGCTTTTATAAGCCCTTGGGCTTATAGAGGGCGGCAACGGAGGAGTTTATATTTGAGGGGTATTAAAACCGTAATAGATAGAGCGCTTCGAAAAAACCTAGAAGTGCAGATCAAAATATGTTATTCAGTTCCTGATTTTAATTAAGTTTCCAAACGTCATAATACGGTTACAGGGGAGCTTTTATCCCGGGGTGCTTATAATCGAATGTATTTTTTTTTACCTAGATGGGCCCATAGCTAGGGGGGACTCAAAAATAAGTTATTCAGCCGATTGATTGAATGCAGCCACTGAGAGCGAGTCAAAAGAAGAACTACCAATATAGAGATTATCAGAATCGCGTTTACGGCAAACAGGAAACGTGAGATTCGAGTTGAGAAATTTTTAAACATGAGAAATGAGCAGACAAAAACAGTTGTTGTGGATAGAGTTGGCGTGAATCTACCGACCCTCCACCGATTTTCGTGTAGTTACTGAATGAACAGTATTCTAAACGAAAAGTGAATGGAAAACTTGGTCACGTGGTACAATTTACGTTTGTCGTGTTTCCTCTTTCAATGACTTGTCGTTTACTGTTCATTATAACTACACGAAAATCGGTAGATTAAGGCCAATTCTATCCATAAGAATTGTTTTGAGCCGTTTTTATCTGCTCGTATCTCATTTTGAAATTTCTCAACTTGAATCTCATGTTTGCCGTTTGCGGTAAACCACGGACGGAAATGCGATGCTTTATCTGTGTAATTTGACTTCCGCCGGGTTACTTGCCTCCCATTAGAGTTTTTAGGGGATTTATATTTCCTCCCTTCCCACGGCTACCGGTACACTATCTTTCCCTGAGTTTCCTCTGGCTACATTAATCATTTACTAGACCCGGCCAGGAAAGCAGCAAAAGATCGGTTAAAATTAATTATTTACCTACAAGGAAACTCTAAACGAGTCGTTTAATGATTGGTGGTGTCTGTGACTTTGAGAAAGATCCAAGAACCCATTATGGTTTTGATAGAACGGAAACTTTTTAGCAGGGGAATCGCGGAGGGCGAAATGAGAATCCGTGGAACCAAAAACAAAGTCAAACTCAACCCACCAGAGTAAAGCCAAATGAGCTCCTTCTATTATGCGTCAAAGTAGGGGATGCGAGCTCCAGTCATCTTACTGAAAAGGCTTTTTTTTGAAAGTTATAAAACAGTGGGCAAAAGGAAGAAGAACAAGCCCTATTCTCCCAAGTCCAATAGGACTAGGCTTGTTAATTTCACATGGAACGACCTCCAAAGTGGGAAGTCACATATCTGATAGGTTTGATGCTATACTTCGGTGCAGTGTGACCAGCTCTGACTGTAGCGGAAGTGAATAAATAAGAGCGAGGACTGAACCACGGAGACGAAAGTAAATATTCAGCAGTACTATAAAGATACAAGATATGTCCTGTACATGACGTAGCCACGAGCGAGAGCAGTTTAATATGGCGCAAGTTGGAGATGAAATTGACCGCTTATCTGGGCATTCAATTGTAAGCTCGAATAAAGCTCTACATGAGCATTTAGATGAAGGTGGTTTTCAAATTAGGATGATTTATCGAAACAGATATTTCCATCTGTGTTCGGTGCAATCAAGAACTGTTTGTACAAGCCTTTAAGGAAACACCTCTGTACAAGGAAGTGGAGTTTGTCTGACTGGCAGTACGGCAGAAGGAGGAATATTCCTAATTTTGAACGACGGGGGATGGAAAGCCCATCTTGAATTGAGATGGATATACTGTGTGTGTTTCGAGACATTGAAATAGGACGATCCGCAGACAGTCCCAGCCATACTGATGAAACAAGAAGATACAAGCGAGGGATATTTCGTTTTGTTCTTTAAATGATAAGGAATACAGAAGACGATGGGCTCAATTTAGTATTGTTCCAAGCGATCCAAAGAGGAAAGGGAAGTGGAAGTTTAATCCATTACTGATGGTAGAAGACTTGTATCGGCAAATTGAACATATTTTTGCACAAATCCCATTACTAAATGAGAGATTCCGGTTAAAATTCAATCCACCAGCTGTCACTTTGTCTATGTTCTTTGGACTTTCAAAACACTACAATCAATTGCGATTTGGTTGTGGCATTAGAGTTGCCTTCTGATTGTCTGCCAAAGGAATACCCGTCATGGGTAAAGTACATGGAAAGCCAAACTGGCTCAGTCAAGAGGTTTTTGGTAAAGTGCAACATGAGCATCTTCATCTTGTTGGAAAGTGCTCAAATGAGTGGACAACCAAAGGTGGAATGGAGACTCCCTTTTTAGTGTCATAGAACTTGTTCTGCAGGAAATAGCATCACAACGTGCAGCTGCTATAACATGTTACAGAGTATATCTCAAATAAGGTTTTGCATTTAAAATGCCCTGACATTCTTCATTCATATCATTTGAAAATGGTGTTTTTTCGAGCATGCCACAAGTACCCATTGAGCTTATGGACAGCCAGCAATTTTGCAGCCAACCTTCTTGGACTTCTAGATGACTTGTTTTATTGCTCCTGCCACAAAGTTCTTTTGCCAAGTTACTTCATTCCACATTATAACCTGATTGAGGGAATTCACTGATTTTCTGTTTACTTTGCTGGATAAATTGAATGAAGTAAAGAAAAGATCCTGTTAAAAAATATAACTGATTTGAAATGATGAACATTAAAATGACGCTTGTGGGATGGATAGTATTTGGGGGCCTATTTTCCTATAACAAAAAAAAAATAACCAGAAAAAAAATAAAACTGCGTGACTTAAAAAGGGTTAGAGCAAACAAGATCCCAAAGAAATAACTCACTCACTTTTCTTCAAACCCGCCTTTTATTCACTGATCAGTCCTGTTATTAAGCTGCAACAGTTCATGATTTTTTTCTGCCCTAGGCTTTCACTACTAATAAAATAATAATAATAATAAATGAAACCAGTGCACTGTCAATTTTTTTTCCTCTGACAAGAGTTTACTTATGACCAGGGCAACTTTACCTATTTAGTTTTTTTTCCCTTCCCCATTAGATTTCTTTAAAAATAAGATGTAATGCATCTGATTTTATGTGACAGATCTATGCTTCATCTTGAATGATGGCGACTTTGATGAACTTGATTCCAACCCTCTCTCCTTTGTTACTTTTGTAAGTTTCCAAAATAAGCCCCTTGTTTAGCATCAATCGCTTATTGTACCCAATGGTCTTCACAAAGCCTCCGTCATGTGCAGTGTAACACGAGCCCCAGCGTTCATCCAATTTGAGTGTGAACACAAACTGACCAGGATAGAAAGAGTCACTGGGCTTGGGAGTGACGGGTCCATATTCGGGAGGATAACTGCGTGCGTCAGAGACCCTTCAATTTTATAACAGGGAGCGTTAAGCTGCCATAGTTCCCTTGTCACAAGTTTCAAACCCAATAAAGTTGGTACCATCTGAGATTCCATATCGGATATCGCTATCGTGCACCCTTCCAATGTTGATGTCATGTGCGGCGATAATCTCGACAGTCAGCGTGTGTATTGGGCTTCAAGAAACCAGCAGGGATCATGGAACTTTTAAAGAGAGCAGCATTAGTCACAGAACCTGCATTGAATGTCAGCTGCTGGGCGGTTGCTCTGCGAAGTATCGATGTAGGATGCATGCGCCCCAACCACAGAGGAGTCATGGTCTTATGGTAGATCACTTTTTGACTGCAAAATATAAAGAACAAACAAACAAACTTAAATATCAAAACCTGCTGAAAAGTACAAAGAAAAGAACGAAATTTCAGAATTTCCTAATTCTGATCAGAAACAGGCAATACAGAGAGTACAAGTTGCAGGGGCGGATCTAGGGGAGGTGGTGGGCACCCCCCCTTCGAGATGACCTGCGGTTTTCTAATACAACTAGTATTTTGCCAAAAACAAAACTATGTGGTTTATTGGTGTTGAAGTAGAGCAAGAGACGAGTACACCCCCCTAAAAAATCCTGGATCCGCCCCCCTGAGTTGCACAGCTGCTAATCACGAGAAAAAAGGCCTAAGGTCATCACATCGAGGGAGACTGGAGACAAAGCTTATCTCTTCCGTTCCCAGTTTACCTCTGCTCCACATGATTCTGCATGCACGATGCCTACGGACAAAGGAATGAACGACCTGAGGTCAAAAACAGGAAAATGCATTTGAAAACCACACATCGTTAAACACTGACTGAATTTCGTCTACATAAAACGTACAGTTCAGCAATTTACTTTAAATTCATTCGGTCGGTTTGAAAAAAAAAACATTACCATTTTAATTACATCTTTTTTTTACGCAGAATTCAGTATAACTGAGAGATAGAGTCGTTCATGCTAATCTACCACAAATTTAAAATATCTTTATTGACATTTTCAAGCAAGCATGAAATGTAAATGCAGCCATGTCGTTTATTTTGACTTACAAGTCTTTACAGAGACAATACAAAATAAATGCAATACTTAATGATTACAAATATCGATACGTGATTACACAAAAAGTAAGGTTTTAACGAAACATGAATGCGCTGTGTTGAAAATAAAACCTCGAGGAAGGACTCCCACTTTTTGTGAAAAAAGACAATTAGAGAAGACTGGCATGCTTCGCTTTCAAGACATCATTAGCCGCCCTCCACCGCCCCTGCCGTCGACGTGAGCATCATTTTACCAAGTTGCGAGAATAAAACAACATTGGAATCAGTACGGCTTGAGAACGACAGACTTAATGGAGATTTTGAAATGTTTTTCTACGGGAAGTAAAAGGCATTTCTTAAGATCAGTGGTTCAACACAGTGCCGGTTTTAATCCGGCAACTTATATAAAAGCTTACTTGATAAAAACTGATGCTAACTGCAGCTTTAAGTACTCTAAATTTCACCCAAAATTCTGAAAATAATCTTAGTAAGCTGCATACCCATTAAGGTCGTTGACTCAAGTTTATACTCTGAATATCGTTCTCAAATAATAATTTTCAATCGAAGACAATATCTTAACTTACGGGACAAATAAGGCCAGTCAACGCCAGGAACGCTCCAGTACTTGAAATGAGTGCAAAAGACATCGCCTTCATCACTTTTTTGACTTGATGTAAGCCTTAGGGAATTTCAACCTTTTTGGCAATTCGAGTCTCCGGATAAACTATGACACGTTCCACAACTTCACACAGTGATAACTAATATATCCTACACGAGTTCTTCAGTTTACGGCCAGTTTAATGAAATTCACAACAAGAATTTTTTCCTCGTAACTTTTGTTTATCTTTTTGTTCGGACGGAAGAAAGACCCTGACGCAGATTAGGTTCTGGTCACACTAGGGTAATTAATTAATAAAATAATTTAAGTTTATATTATACAAGAACAAGATTGATTGCTGCTACGTACATCGTAACAGGCACCTGGTCGACTAGCATGCTGAAAGAGAAATTTACGGGTGACTTGCCGCCGGATGATCTGATCGTTGTTTACGTTCGATACATATATTTAGTAGAAGCTGTCATCATGTTGATTGAGCCGAGTGATGTACGTAAGAGCAGAATAATTCACTTTTTGGATGTAAGTAAACATAATTCGTTATGGAACTCTATAAAGCAAGCCAGTTCTGAGTGAATAGAGTTAGAATTTGGACGTGTTGGTTTTTTGTAAGAAGACAGTACTCGGACTAACAGCATCGAAAATAGAGCCAACGTTAAACAAGTATATATGCCATGAATGGATTCCACTCACTTTCGGGGGACAGGCTCTGTCGACATTGACCAGAGCTTCAGTTGGAGGAACTCTGATTAATGTGGCCCAAGACTCCGTTAAATCTCTGCCCCTCGCTCCCTAAACCTTGTACCGCAATCGCCAAAGAAAGTTTACGCATGAAAATAAATAATCGGAAGAATTAATTTCACTATTGTAACTTAGAAAGACTCAAGTAGAAGAGCCAAGAGTAATAGGCTTCGAACTCAAATATTTGTAAACGAAAGAAGAAATTAATTCCGAACAGAACCAGTCCGATTGGACCAGTTTGCTAAAATAACATTCAGAAAAGGCCCAGGGAAACAGTTCGGCGAAAAAGCACAAAGCGGGCGTGGAGCGCAAGACAAGCGCGACTGGGGAGGGCACCTTTCCCTGTCGCGCGTGTCTTCTGCTCGGCCTCCTTACTCGCTTCGCGCTTGCCTTCGCTCTCCTCCTCAAGAACGCGGAAAAAAGAACTTCCTGTTCTACAGGCTATAGCTAAGATTAATATCCTTCCAAATACAGAAAAATGCTGATCCACGAAAGTGAACATCCGGAAAAATAAAGTGCCGATGCTCCAGTGATATGGGCATCCCCGCGTTTTGGGCATCCGGTAAACAGATAAAAGTTGCAGAAAACTGGTACCGAACTGAATGAACTTGAGGGAGTCTGGGTTCTTGAGTGTAAACATGGCGGACGAATTTCTTCAAAAAGCGCTGCAGAAGGCTCGTATTTTTGGCGATAAAATCTGGAGCCGTGTAGTTTCAACTGAACAAAAATGCACGCAAGTAGATATGGCCGATGCAGTGCTAGCTACTGCACTAAGTGGAATAACATTTCCTCTTTGTCTTGGTGTCCTACAAACTGGTTTGTTTCGCCCTCTAAGGATAACTTCAAACCGTCGCTTTATTGGTTCAGCCTTCGGTACTGTTTCTTTGCTGGTTTCTGGAAGCACAGCGTCAGCTGTATTTCTTTCCAGCATTGTACTTTTTAAGGAAATCAAGGGCAGCTCCTTTCGAATCTTAACTGAAAAACTCCATTCTTTAATACCAAATACGACAGTAGATGTTGCAGTTTGTTCCAGAGATATTCCTCTGTGTGGAGTTGCAAGCTTAGTGGTGTACAAAATTTTGGGCGGAAGGTTGCGATCAGTTTTGCCAAGCAGCTTGATTCATCCAGGAGCATTTGCTAAAAGGTTTATTCCAGCTAAAGGGAAAAGATATGCTTCTGATGGTGTGAAAAGAAAGCTTGCGTTAATGGGTGAGTTTTTAAGGCTTTCAAGTGAATATCAAATAAATGGCCTCACAGCCAATTAGCCCCCAATCTCTAGATGATCAGCCCCAAATCTTGAAATGCATATGAATGCTTTAGACAAATTAATTTTGCTGTGGCTATATGCTGGGCAGCCGGGAAGGGTCTAGACTTGCAGAGACTTGCTACAAGTCGACCTAGTTCTTACCCGGGTGAAAAAAGAGCAAGCGAAGCGAGCTTCATTGAGGTCGCGGGAAAAAAAAAAATTCAAGGACTTTTAGAAAGTCTAAGAAGGGTCTTAAAAAAACTAAATAAAAATAAATGTCCAGCAGTCAGAACATTTTCTAGAATTTCTACAAAATCTCTTGTTCTAATCATTTTGAAAGCATTCTATCGTCATTTACAATTACCAAGCAGGCCTGTAGCCAGGTTGTTTTATGGGGACGTGCAATCCAATGCTGAGATAGACCAAATGAGGCCAGAGGGGCAAGTCCCTGGGGGGGGGAGCTGTGGTTGTCTGAGACTGAATTGCGTAGCAAGTTTGCAATTGGGAGGAGCTCACTTCAAACGTGTTAGCATAAGTCTGGGGGCATTCTCCCTTGGAGAATGTTTAAATTTAACCCCTCTGAAATGGTTGGACAGATATGCATCTAAAACTAGCATGGTGTGGTGAAACATATATACTTTCTGCAACAAAACACATTGTCAGAAAAAATACTTTTCTCCGCAAAACACATGATGCAACAACAAAAATTACTATTCTCCAAACCATTGAACTTGTTCGATAACGGAAGTTTAGCTCCGTGTTGAACTAAAGCAGCTGATGCAAGAACAAAAGAAAAGAAGAACAGTTTCTTCACTTTCATTGTTTCAAATTTACTGTAGAAATATAAAACAATGGATTTTTGGGTGAAACGTTGAATAAGAAAGTAACTTCGATTTTTTTTCTAGTATTACTCCAAACCAAACCCCCTTTTTATACTTTACAAAGGCTAAAACACGTTTTGTGGAAAGGGTGAGTCAGGCTTGTGACCTTTTTCACAGCATGTTCAATGTTACTACACAATCAGTAAATTAGAATAGAACAATACTCCTACTTCACTTTGTTTTAAATCACTGATCAATAAAAAAGTGGACCTCTGGTCCCTGTGAGGGTATACGAGTGCACCCATTGCAACCCCCCCCCCCCTCCTCCCTTCAGGCCTGCCAAGGGATCAGGAAAAAAAGAATAGCTTTGCACTCAAGTGGTTGTGGTGTCTTGGCCACAGAGTAGAGTCGATGCCATTTCAACATAGAAGTTCAGAAAATTCTAGAGAAAAAATTCTCTAACAAAATAGTGAAAATTACATCATCAGAGTGGCCACAGGCAGAAGGGGAATAGTCAAGGTCAGGGTTAGAAAAATGGAAACATTGTAATTCTTGGGGTCTTTCTGAATGTACCATCATCACAAGAAAAGGGGTTTTTTTGTTTAATGCACATAATCTGTGCCTCAGTACCTACAGAAAGAATCAATTCTTGGAACTATGACTCTGTTGAGCTTTTTATACCCCACTTATGAAACCAAGTTTTGATTTGCATGAAGATCTAAGTGCTGCGTCTCTGATTATGACTTTTACTCTGTTTGATAGTGATAACCAGCTTATAAGCCTTGTTTTTATTAGCAAGTCTGGAAATTATGATTTCTTTTGTAGTTTTATTTATAACATAATCACTGCAATTTTTACATAACACAGGAAGAATACATGGTTGTCACTCTTGTGGAAAACGTTGGAGAACTACTTTTGTGGGAGATCATATCCCACCCAACATGCTGGTTAAAGAAGGACAAAAGCAGAGGTTCTATCCGCAATGTAGGAATTGCTCTTATCAACAAGGTAAGATTACGTATCTTTGACGGTGGCCATATGGGATGCAAAAATGTGCATCCTTGGGATTACTTTTCCATTTTTTCTACGTTTGAGCTCAAACTTTGCAGGATGGTAGAACTCTGTATTCCAAAAAATCCAATGTTTTTTGTTTTTCGATTTTAATGGTTTCTGGCGGGAAAATGATGTCACTGTAAGATTGACAGCAAAATCTATTTTTCAAGTTTGGGCAAAACAAACAAATAATCATGAAAGAGTGTGACGAGATAGAAACAAATGTGAAAAACTTTTTGGAAAAGCTCAATTGCTTTAGGAGATGTATAGCATCTTGAAATGTACTTATGTTTCTTGGTAGTAAGAAAATGGCGGGAAAATCAAAAATTAAAACCGTTAAACTCAAAAAACAAAAAACATAGGATTTTTTAGAATACAAAGTTCTACCATCCTGCAAAGTTCGAGCTCAAATGAACAAAAAAAGGAAAAGTAGTTCCCAGGATACACCTTTTTGTGTCCTGTGTGCCCACCATGTTCATGTTGCACATGCTTGAGCATTTTAATTTCTGATAAATTTTTAAATATAGTTGAACCACCAGTAAGTGACAGCCCAGAATGACAAGTTTTAGTAGAAGCTTAAGAGAGTTGGTTGCTAACAATAGTCCAACCATGAGGGCTCTCTTCTGGGTTGAGGTCCTACTTATTTAAAAAGAATTTATTGATTATGATCATATATACAGGGATTGTAGAGATCAGACCATGTGTTATGTGACCAGGCTGACATGTTGAGGAACACTCTGACATCATTTAAACTCTTAGCTAAAAACCCCACTATCACCAAAACCAATCAGATTGCAATACCAAACAATGCAGATCGATATTTTGTCAAAATAGCCTTTTTTCCTTTTTTTATTAACTTTTTGCCCTCTTGTAACATCTGTCAGGTGCAGCACTGTCTCTAAATTCAAAACAGTTACTAATCAAGACACACAGCTCATCACTAAGACGCTATCACTTGTGGTTACCTTTGCCAATTCCTTTGGCAATGTTACGGAGTTATGTCAAAGACAAGTCAGAGAAACAACAGTCACCAGTGAAATCTGACAACAATTGTCAAGAACCAGACAAGTTACAAAATGCGATCTTAAAGAAAATTTTAAAGTTTCTCAGATATGGAGGCAAGGATAGTGGAGAAGATGATGAAAACAGTTAACTTCCCATGCATTTTTAAGACTGCAAATTAAAAAAAGTGTATTTTTGTGATCAATAAAATGCCACAGGCAAGAAAATAATGGATCTGACTTTGGTTGTTTAATCTTGTAAGCCTTGGCACTGTGTCACATCACACCAGTCCTTTACAGTCCTTTGCAGATCCAGGAGAGGGGCCTGCACCCCCCCTTCATTTTAGACCAAACAGGATGACCCCCCCCATCTGATGCTCGGGATCCGCCACTGCTTTGTGATCTCTTTTGGCTACCAGTGGTGTGCCGGATTCAGCACAAACTGTTTCCAATGGTCTTCTAATCTCTCTTTGGTGTACCACCTGTCTAGCTGAAGAAGCTTCTACATGTAAGTTTCAAAGAGGATGTTGCTTACATATCATCCTAAGATCAAATGGCAGCTACAAATAATATTAAAGGTCCCCAAAGCAAAGTGCAAGAACCACAGGGACAGGGCCTTTCCACTCTTCTTTTAGCTATCAAAAGTACCCAGAATATTCAGAGTTTTAAAGAGGTTCTGATGAATTTCTTTTTCATGTGGCATTTACACACTAAACCATTTCATACACAGTATATAATTTCGTCGTCAAGTGATATCAGTGTATATGTTCTATCACTGATATTATTTGAGATTTTATTCCACTCTTTACTGCTGCCAATTATTTCAATATGACAGTGTCCAACAAGAAAGCTCTTGCTACTTTGAACACCGTACACAGATGAACTTAATGTCTTTTAGTTAATTATTATTTGTAGCTACTTTATTTTCCTACTATGTACACTTTTGTAAATATCTTGTATAGTGTGAATAAAGAATTGAATTGAATTGAATTGAGTGTTTTATTCTCCTTTTCTTTGGATTTGGTGTTTCAATAACCTTTTCCATTAGCAGCTGCTGATGGTGAAATAGACATTTGGCTATAAATAGGAAACCTGGGTGCAAGGACCCTTTCCCCTAAAATCTTGACAGACAGTGGTAGAGGGACTATAGGCAGTAGTAGACCACTAGAAACAGCTTTTATTGAATCCCCTGACCATACATCAAGGAATAGCCTGCGAGCAAGTTCTCCAGGGCGCTCTGGCTGCAAGGCGGGAAAAGGATGTGTCACCATTTTTCTTACATTTCATTGATGTTGGAAATTGAAGGTAAATTATCCAGAGCAAGATAGTTGTCCTGCATTTATTTACTGGTATGTGATGTTACTTTTTATTTTTGACCACGTCAGTAGATGAATATTTCTCACAAGGCCAAACTCTTGACGCAATGTACATGTATGCTCTTAATTAGTGTACTTACAGTGAAATTTTCGCTAGAGTTCTGAGCTTATTCTTATAAAAGTTTTTGCATCTATGCTTACCAAAATGTCATAGGTTCTTAAAAAGTTTGCTCATCTTCTCAAATTTGTCCCTGAAGTGGCCTCTTAGCTCAAGGCTGTTATGGAAAGATTGCCCTTACAAGACAAGCAGGTTCCCACACAATCCTCTTCATAATATCTCAGTTCCTCTCCCATGTTGGAAAATTTTCCTCTTGAAGGAGTGCTAGTAACGTAATTCACATTATTACTGAATCTTTCTTCTTGAAATCTGCTGCTTGTCCAGACTGTGCATACTGCTTTTGAAAATCTTCTCTTCTCTTTAGGTACTCCTCCTTACATTCTTCAACAAAGTCTTTGTCCTGGTAACTAAGTAATGGAAATTCAGTAAAACAATTTAATTAGAAGTATATTTAAAGAAATACTATTACATAACACCAATCAATGATGCTGGCAGGTTTCTTTGTATCAAAAACCCAAAAATTTTTTAGAATTAATTTATCAAAAATTTGTAACATTTGTAATTATTACAATCCACTCTCAAGTTAAATCATTCTTCAACTAGTTTGATTCAGATTTTCCTTTATTTCCCAGCCTAACTTACTCATAGAAGACAAAAGAAATTCTTGTCTAACCTGAGAACAAATCTACCTACAACAGTGTCACCTCTCACAATCTACTGATAACCAACTTGATCTTTGCCCTGCTAACAGTCTCTCACCTTCTACCAGTCACTTATATCACAGAAACATCGACAAGACATAGATGTGCTAATATACTACAGTGAGCCTAAGTCACCATGTCACTACAGTACTTTAATAGTACTTTTATTTCACTTTATGCCTTGTCTTAAGATGTCCGAATGTGATAAGCAAGGAAAAAGAGAATGAGTTCTACTACAAACCACATTACAGCAAAAGGACAGACGTCATACCTAGACAATACCATACAAGTCAACTTTCGTTTTTATGGGTCACCACATCTTCAGAGTGATAATATCAAATTTAGGGCCCTTCTGTGCTTTAGTTTGGAATCCCATATTTTCCCAAAATTCAAAAATGTTATATTAAGGTTTTTGGTGGCATTTTTCCAAGTGTTTCACAACTGACAAAAATTATTTGGCCTTGACAGTCATGTATGCAAACTTACTGTTGTTAACCCTTTAAGCCCCAGGATCAACATACAAATTCTCCAGACTGATCTCTATACATTTCTTTTAAGAATAGTTGAGAGAATTTGGTTTAAGATCAAAGCATTCTCCCTTTGGTAGTCAATTTAGCAATTCTCCTAAACTTTACTCTTGATGATCTGCTGCTGTTGTTAGGAGAAAATTGATGTTGGACACTCTTGGGACCTGAAGGGTTAATGGTCTGTACCTCATATAAAACTACCTGTAATGTCCTGAGCCACACCCAATGATGATTTTGGGGGTACTGAGTCAATTTGTGTGTATCAGGGGTTGGGTGTGTTGATAGTGGGAACCTTAAGGGGGATTTACTGAGAAAAATAGTCTCCAGATTTTAGATCTTCAGGGTTTGGCATCTACAACACCAACCCTACACACCACCTAAAGATGTTAGATTTACATGGTTGAAATTGAGTTCCTTTTACTTACTAGTGTGTCATACAATCTTTCATTGCTTGGTTTTCTTTACGGCAAGCCCACACTACTGACACAGTTCTTGACTTTGCACACTGTGTAAAAGCTGTAAAATTAGGAAAAACAGAGGTAAAAATACTCAAACTTTCAAATGGCTTTTCTCCTTCCTGATTGACTCGGGATGCAATCCATTCAACCAAAATTTCCAGGTGGAATTTCCACAATTCCCATGAATGAATGGAGTGGTATTTTCCAATAATTTACTGATCGCCGCTGACATCATCGGTGACAACAATACATGAAACACAACAGAGTTCATCTGCAAGTTTTTACTTTTTTGGCCTGTTGATTGAACCATCTCAAGCAAGTCTCACTCTTCAGCGAACACTCTCATCATCAATACAATGCTTGTAACCACACAACTCATTTAGTCAATGAACTCAAACAAGCAAACAAGCAACATGTAAAAGTTAAAGGGTTAACAAGAAAGTAGCAAAAACATTCAACATTATTTTCTAGATACAGTCATGTACCAACAATTGTCGAACTTCGTGGACAAAGCTGCTCAGCCTGCGGCGGTTATATTGCAAGTGACGTTTTCAAAACAAGATTAATTGATTACCACATCAGTGATATTGTGAGCGGGAAACAGACAGGCAGTTCTCAGAAACAACAATCTGGCTGAATGGAACAGGAAATTTCAGTCGGACCAGTCCTGTAAGCCAAAGAGGACCACCTTCACAGGTGATCCCAAATATTTCCATAGGACTGAACCGAAAAAGACCATTTCATTTAACTTCAAACAAAAATTTCCAGAAATGTTGGTTGAATGGATTGTGCACCCGATATTCCATTACAAATCCTGTGTTCTGATTGGCTGATATATTAATACTCGCTACTTGTCAGCTCATACCTTGCAAGCAGAGGCTACATTTTCGCTGTGTGAGCCAGTGTGCGAAAAGTAGCCTCTGCCAACAACCATTCAAACTCATCCAGAAATCTGGAAGAATAAATTAAAAAAACAGGCTTTCTCCTGTTCTTGACCTGTTTAGAGGACTGTGTGAGTCTTGCACTCATCTTGCGTAGCAGATCAGAGTTGGTGATATTTTTTTATTCCCTCAAAACTCGCACCATTTGACGACACACCTGACGATTAATTTTGCTTGCGAATCGCACGATAAATTTCGCGCATGCACAGTAGAAAAATTGAACAGTTGTCGGCAGAGGCTACTTTTCACACGCCAGCTCACACAGCAAAAATGTAGCCTCTGCTTGCAGGGTAGTCAGCTCATGAAGTAGTGGGCTAAAAAGGTGGTGGAAATATACTTAATTAAGATCACCAAAAAAGTTGTCCTTTAATACATTTGCAATCATAACACTATACGTCTACCACTCTCTCCATTTCTAAGGCTCTGGGAAAATTTCTCAGGGCCTCCATCTCTACAATAAAATAAAATGAGCTTACTCCAACTTGTAAAATAAAAAAAAGAGCAGAAACCCCAACCCAGCTAACAGTTTCAAGAGATTTAGAAGATATTCCCGTCACGTACAATTTTCAAATGATTTGTCCCTGATGGCAACGGTTGTAATGTCTATATTGTTTACCTTTGACCAGATCATCACATTTGGCCTTCGCTCTTTCTCTCACAATTTTAGGAATAAGAACTTCTTTTTCCACATATCGCAAATGATTACCGCGTGCCCATGGGGGTATTTCTTCGGATACATCGCTTGTTGTTGGGTCCACCGACGTCGATGAAGCAGCCATATTGAAACTTTCTTTCCCATAACACTTTGCGGTCGAGGAGGTAAATAGATTACACCGGGGAGTGGGGGCGGGGGGAGGGTACTCCTTCATAAAAAAAAGTAAATGCGCCGTTTTGGTGTGAAAACGGTTATATATTTTGCCCATTTTGGTCTGGAATCGGGTATGGTTTTCGAGGGAACTACGGGAGTGTATGAACTTATTTGTTGTTTCAGTTTGTGGGGTCGCACATTTTCGGATTTTTGGGGGTAGAACAGTTCTTTATATTTACGGTTAGCAAACGTACCAGAATGTTTGTACTGTATTTGAAAATTGAAATGTTCTTCTTTCAGTTTAAAATATGGGTAGATTCATAAAAATAGAAAGTGACTAAGTTGGGATCGCAAAAATTACATAATTGCCCAAAAGTGACTAAGATGGGGTCTATAATTGCCACAGAATAGACCGTATAATAGGGTAGGCCCTCTGAGGTCAGCGGCACATACCTAACAAAAATTTACCCAAGTACCACTCCCCCCCGGTTGGTAGTTTGTGCAAGGAAATTTGTCTCCGTCTCCGCCGCTTACGATCTAGTGAAAACCAGGCTGACCGAGTCGTAAGTAGAGGCGGAAGATTCAGACCAACTAAGCCAATCACAAAACGTAGGACCGCGCTAGCGTTGTGATTGGTTTATCCTTGAGCTTCTGCTTCTGACTCTGGCAATCTGCTGGTTTTCAGTCATCGTAAGCGATAGAATTATAAGCCACTTCGGAAGAAAATGGATGGACAGGTTGTGATTCCTCTGACTCCGATCCCGTCAAGCTTACGACTCAGAGTTTGAGGGAGTTTGAGTTTCACTATCAGATTTTGTAAGCTTGTGATGATTTTCTTGCTTTAGTTTGTCTCACCATCAAGTTCTGCTCATTCATTACGTTTTTTGTCTTTTTCAACATGCATCTGAGGTATTCGCCTCTTTCAAAGGTTTCACCGCTTTAGGGCCGATAGAATTCATGGACCGATCGCGACCCGTTCTGAAAAATGATTGACATCCTTTTTCGTGGGGCCCGATGTGCGGGTTTGAAGATGAGACAGTCGAATAACGTGACTAACCTTTTTTCAAGGATTTTGTCACAAAAAAATAGCATTTTATAAAATTAAACTAAGTTGTTTTTGACGCCGAACGAACACACAAGAAGATTGCTGAGATTCTTATGCATAGTTTCCAGGGTCTCCACTAGGAACGCCTAGAACAAAAACAAATGCGAAGAAAAAAGAACGGCTTGCTTTTTTAGGATTTCGTTTACTCATTAGGGACGTTCAAGTAATCAAAGGATGGGGTGAGGTTACTGTAATTAATATCCTAGGCATAAGACTTTCTAGAGTCTTTCCTCTCGATCTCTTTATTCCGGGGTCCGAAGTCCACCGGACAAGGTAACGCCCCGGGGGTAACGCATGCCTCTGGGAATGAAATTCAGCTGCTCTAGGACAATAGTGTTAGAAAAATTTTACACACTAAACAATGTAGACTGAGGCGGTCCAGACATCTTTGGGAGTTCGTTGGAGTAAATACGTCCTAAATTCCATTTTTTGACAAAAATAGAAATAAGAATGACTCGCCTTGTGTTTGTGTTTTGCTATTTACTGTCTCTTTGCCTCTAGAGCCATTTGGAAGCCGTTTTATCGACCTTTAAGATTTTGAGTTGTTGCTGATTTCTAATTCTTGATAAAATCCAAGATGGCGACCATTGTGGGTGACGTCACAGGCCTCCAGCAGCGCCACCACCCAAAAAATATACCTTATATTGTTGAGAAGATCGAAAGCTTTCCACTGAACGCAAATCGTTTCCAAATACTGCAACATACCAAAAACTGTGGCGAGGAGTTCCTTCAAACCACCACCTCCCACCCCCTTATACCACGGTAGGGGTATGAATTTGCGTGTACGTCTGAGGGTTAAGGGTGCGTTCCTTTGGGATGATCTGGATCAGGATCAGTAATCCGAGATCATTTGGATTGTGGTACATGTTTTGAACTGATGAATCCTTGTCCAGAGTTGATTCATCGGCTTATTTTATGCAACGTTATCCGAGTGATCTCGGACCACTCATTCTCATCGGGATCATCCAAGAGGATCGCACCCTTAATTTCTGGTACCTGGTTTGCTCGTGTCAGTCCTTCCAATTTAGGTTCGGAAACACTTAAGAAAATAGAGCCCTTGAGCAATTCCGTGTAACATTCTGAAGTGGCTCGATACAGTTTTTCAGGGTCAATACCTCCAAAGTTTGAGTATAACCTACGTCACCATAAACAAAGATTTGGAAAAATTGCCATCACATAGAACATAACAACAAAATGACGCCTTTACCTATTTTGCTTGCAGCAGAATTTCGCTGCACTGGGAACTGTTCTTCCAAAATCGTTCACGGGAAGCTGTTTCCGCCTCCAATAGCCTCCGCAACGTTCGTTCGAAGTTTAAGCGGAATCGATCTGCAAGAGATCGGGAAATTTCGGGATGAAGTTTTTATGGTTAGAAAAACGGTAAAAAATGGACGATCTTGATGTTCGGCTGTTATACATAAAAAACGAAGCGCTTTTGACATGCAATCTCACGTCATAGTAGTTTCAATCTTATTGAAAACGTGAGGGAAAGATCAAGGAGATAGCTCCAGCCGATTGCTAGAAAGAAGGATTTGATTACTATGTATCGAGGCGCTCTTGTGAGCGGTTTTGGAAACATTTCGGTTTACTTTAACAATTAGAGAATAATTTTTAAACCACTAGAGAGCTTTTTTTAAAAAATTAAGATTTTTGAGATCAACCGTGCTTTTATATGACCTTTTAGTTTCAAGATTATCGATATATTGTCATAAATTGTTGTTTTTAAGTGACAGCCTCTCATTATTCAGGGTATTGACTCTAAGTTTCATATTTTCGTGCACAACAATAGCTAGCATTTTTGCACATTTCAAATGCATTGTTAGTTACTGCTCATCACGTGAGAATGAAACTTGGAGACAATATCCTTGAATAATGAGAGGCTTTCACTTGTAAAGACGAAACTTCCGATAAAAGTCCACTTGCACTAAGAGGTCACGTAACCAATTCTTCCTTTAAACAATGAGTTGCAATCTTCCTGATGCCAAAAAAAGACAGAGCACATAAAAATTATCTTACACCCGAAATTTGAGAAGATACGCATTTAAGGAAGATATTTTATGATACTTTGATTTTTCAACAAAGTAGTATGATTTGTATTGGCCGCCATGTTGGAGGGCATACTCTTGCCTTCCAACATGGCGGCCAAAACTACTTTTTGCTTGTGTCTTGTTAAACGTTTGATAGTTACGCTCAGATGTGCTGAAAACGTTGCCACAGCATCTTTTCAACAATTTCCTTGAAGTTTAAGTGCAAAATTTGTGTCCAGAAAGAGGTAACTCATAATTTTAAAATCACATTTTGGTCACGTGACCATCTACGAACGTACTCGTTTTAAGAAAATGGTGCAGGTTTGACAAACAAAATCACTATTATACAAATGATGTCACATGTCTTCTTAGTGCAAATGGCCTGTATTAGCGAATTTACTTCGTTACAGTAATATATCAATAATCTTGAAACTCAAAGGTCTCCTGAAACGACGCTTAATCTTGCGAATCTTAAATCTTTTACAAAATCTATCTAGTAGTTTAAAAATTATTCGCTAATTTGTTAAAGTAGACCGAAACGTTTCTAATACCGCTGACAAGAGCGCCTCGACTGACATACTAATCAAATCCTGCTTTCTAGCAATCAGCTCGAGTTAATGATCTTAGCTTTCACACACGTTTTTAAAACGATTGAAACTACTATGAGGTGTAATTGCATGTCAAAAGCGCCTCGTTTTCTACAGTTAACGGCCGTACATCAAGATCGTCCATTTTTTACTGTATTTCTAGCCATAAAAACTTCCTCCCAAAATATCTCGATAACGCCTCCTGATCAATAGATTCCTCTTAAACTTCACGAACATCGAGGCGGCTACTAGAGGAACGATTTTGGTCAGTCCCTTTGCAAACAAAATAGGTAATGCCGTCATTTTGTTCCTATGACCACTCCGATGATTGCAACCCTGATCATAACAAATTTTCATCTTTATCTAAGACAACTATGACGGCAATTTTCCACATCTTTGTTTATGGCTACGTAGTTTATGCCCAAACTTGGGAGGTATTGACGCTGAAAAACTGTATATCGAGCCACCTTATGCTAATGGCTTCACGTTTTCTTTACCATCAGTTCAGTTACCCTGAATGCATTCGAAGTTGTCGTATTCACGAGTTGAACGCGTAAGAATACAGCACTTAAGAAACGGATATTGTGTTCAGCAATTCTTTGCGATCGTTTATTGGCTGAAGGCCCTTAATTCAATATATAAATAAAGGAGTGTGTTTTTCTACTCAGTACTGCTTCATTTAAGGTGCGGCTTTGAAGGTGGCTTATTGTTGGAATTCAATCTTCTGTTCTCCAGCAACTCCTAACAAAATGAATACTTTGCTTGCCTCTTTATTGGTTTTTACCTTTTGCTTCTCAGTGGGCGAGTACTTTACGATACTTTGTCTGGTGCGAGTAGATAATTAAGCTGGTTGTGTCACACTTGGCATCCGTCAAAAAATTGTGCGTATTAATTTTAGTCAAATTTAGCAAGCTTAATACCTTAAAATAAACCCAGTTGCTCTGATTACTACTTTGAATGTTTGACGTTTTCTCTAAGTCACTAAGTCAGTTTGGCCCTCTTTGTGTGCGCCTACATATAGCAGGCGTTATTTACGCTATTTCATCTATGGCTCGATCTGGTGCTTCAGTTCCCATTCGAATGTCTCCTCCTTGCACCTCTGCTGGCCATATACTGATCACTGGAAAGAGTAATGACGAGGTACTAGCCTCGTCTATACTGAATTAATCGAGATAGGTTTCTGTGAAGAAGTACCAGGAGCACCCTACTACTGATTACTGTAAAATATCTGTTCGGAGAAGCAAAAATTACCTAGAATTTTCTATTACTCGAGGACGGCTAACAGTTTCTAGATGACCGTTCCATTCATGTACAATTTTCGAAGCTTATCTAATGAATTCCCACGATTTTCTAAAGTATAATTTTTCGCATTGCAATCCCCAGGTTAAGCTGTTTTTCGCGAAAAAAGGAAATCTAAAATTTTCGGATTCGAAAATGCCATGAAGAGGGGAATCAGAAAAATTCTTACTTTCGTAAAACTTTAAATTGCATCTAAAATTTTCGGGATAAAAAGAGCCCTTGTAATTTCGAAAAGACTCCAGTTCCGCAAGGCTAACCGAACAGATACAAATTTTATAGCGCCGCTTAGAAAGCATTTCTAGAGATATAAAAATTCTCTGGATAGCCTAAAAAGTGTTTTCAATGCATTTAGAAGGAAAGTACCTCATGAAGTACCTCATGAAAAATGTTGAAATTAGTGTTTCAGGTCATTTAAAATCCTGTAAGCTAGGCACACCTCCAGAAAATCATGCACCCTGCTAAAGGCTCGCACCCTAGGTGCTTCCACTTTAATTTTATCTTTGCTAAAATTCTTTGCTACGGCTCTCGAAGTCTGTGTGGTGAGCTTACAAGCGTTATGACTTCGTTCCATGTTGTTCAGCGTATAAATTTAGCATCGTTTGTAGTGATTACTGCTTTTGAATCTCATAGCTATGGAAGATAAGCAACAGGTAAATCAATCATTTTCCAAAATCTTCCATTGCCACGTTTGTTTGTTTTTTTAACTCCACCATCGTCACTGTATTTTTCACTGCTGGCAAATTTTAATACTGGCCAAGGGTAGCGTTTGTAATAATTGCTTTCTCTCAAATATTTCCAGAATCGAACATTTAAGTTAAGCTGGTTGGCATTAAAATTATTTTCACTGAGGATCATGTTAAGAGTTTCCTTCTCAAAATAGCTGAGCTGAGTTTCAGCTAGAATATTGATTTTACTCAATGCTGACCATTTGGAGTGATCATTTTGATAAGCTACATTTCATCGAGTGATATATTGCCTTTTAATGGTGCGGTTCTGGCAGAGTTCCAGTACTAAAGGTGTGGCTTTAACTAAGACAACAAAAACCAGCAGTGTTCGCTTCAGGAGAGGCAAGGATAGCAAGATTTAGTGCGAATAGAAGTAGCCTAGTCTTGGTAAAAGTTACCGTGCATAATAGTAGATTTTTTAATTTGGCCGTTATAGGGGCAGGTGAGAAAAAGGTAGACTAGAATTTGAAAACGTTGGTTTGACAGTGTTATTGGGACAAATTGATCACAACACTCGATTATGTTGTGTTTACGCCTTGGATAACGGTTTTGTCTTTCTCTGGCTCTCTTGGTTTGACTATTGAAATAAGCGTGACCTTAAGTCTACTTGCGTAGTGCTGTTTGAAACCCAATTATGTATTGCCAAGAATATTTTACTCTGCTTACAACAAAATCTAAGTCAATATTGGGAGCATCAATATCCGATGAACTCTACGAGTTATAATCTTAGGCACAAAGAAAAGACAACCACACGTATCACTTATATATGTATATATATTATATATATCAAAATCATCTTTATTCGTTTGCCGGAACAAGCATGCAAGGTCGCATCAAGGGAGGCAAGACCGAGGCCGTTGCTCCCAGACCCCCTGATGCTGCCCGTCGGTGAAAACAAAGGCGAGTTATCAGCAGTGGCGGATCCACACCGGATAAGGAGGGGGGGTCGGTCTGCAAAAATTTTTCTTTGGTCTAATAAGGGGGGTCCGGGCCCCCCGAGCCGCTCCCCTAGATCCGCAACTGATCAGGTCTAAGGCGAACAGTGATGTAGCCGATAACGAAACCAACGCACATGATTAGAGGCAAAGTTAATGCATTACTAACGGATGCTACGTATTATATTGCCATTGGACGGTATCCAATACCTCACACAAACGGTTTCTGTTTTTAATTAGCACTGATATTAAGTTGTTTTTCAAAGTGGCTTGAGTAATAGCTCACGATCCAAATGCTTTAGAAGATGCAGTTTCCAGACGAGTCTAAAATCAGGTGACAAGTTAGATGGCGCAAGCGCATTCAAAACCTCAAACACTAGGAGTATACAATTCGGCAAATCCCAATGCGCTCTACGAAGGGCAGTGGAACAATTCGAGCAAGGCATTGATTGGTCACGTAGACCTCAACTAGCCCACAACTTTGAAAAATGCACTGTGTGAGCAATAGTAAAGAAAGCCACTGAAAAGAGAGTAAGAGACACAGATCCCGGGGGGAGGCTACTCCTGGGAATTTTTGGAGGGGGCGTGCGGCCCAGTTCTTCAAATCCTGACCCTATTTCAGACCAAAAAAGTCATTTTCCACACCCGTTTTCAGACCAGACCTCTAAAATCCATACCCGTTTTCAGACCTGGCCTTTAGACAGAAATTATGTCATCATTACTTAGATTAGAGCTCAAACCCAAAAAAATTCTTCAAATCCATTTAGGGTTCGCATATTTCTCTTTCTTTCTTACTCATTTGGAATTGAAACGATAAATACGTTTATACGCTCACGTAGTTCCTTCGAAAACCATACCCGATTCCAGACCAAAATGCAGGGCAAAATCTATACCCGTTTTCAGCCCAAAAACAACAACAACAACAAGAACAACAATAATTTTTATTGTACTCAAAGCAGAATATTATAGTTATTTACAAGTTGATAAATTTATCAGTTAACTAAAAGGGGTACTGAATTCCTACAATAACTAATAGGTCAGAAAAATGCCAAGAAGCCAGAGAAACTATGAGTTAAAAAGGCGCAAAAACCCTACTCGTTGGGGCGGCGGATACCGATCAGTGGCTTATATAAGGGAATACCCCCCGAGACACAGAGTTTGCTCGGAAGAAAACCACATTATGGGCCCAACGATACTGCATACAGAATACATTTTAAGTTATTTCCGTACCAAAGTGGTGGAAATTGCACAATATCTTTGATTTTTTACAGCCAAACTTTCATACGCGACCACTTCTCAACTTCTCGTTAGCGAATACCTCCGACAATCCACCACCTATTCAAAACACCAATGCAAAATTTTCCCACTCAGAGCCTTGTAGTTGGAACCTCGTGAACGACCATCACCTTTGGTGAGCGACCACGACCACTTTTTGGGGTTGCGGGTTTACAATGTTTGACGGTGTTTATATTAAACTACATGCATTCAATAAACTTGCTCTTCATGATCTCTATATTCGCGGTATCATGTACTACGCTACCAAGAGTATGTAAAACACTCGCCTTTTTCTAGCTTAGTATTAGAAATATTGTCTTTCACTGTCTATTTCTTGGGAAAAAGGCGATCATTATTACATCCAAAAACGGCACAACGATCTTTTTCCCATTACAATCTTATTCTGACAAAACTTTGCTAGAAAAGGCCCCGAAAAAAGCTCGTAAATACAAACGAAATGTGCTCATGCCCTCTGGGCATCCTAGAATAGTCCTTAAATCAAATTAATTCAATATGGCCGCCGTATCGGTAAAAAAAAGGTCTATTGAGCTTAGCTGTTCTTATGTATGGTCATGATAGGATTACCAAAACCAAGCCACTTTTGGAGGAATTTCCGTCATTGATGCTCTAAATCAGGAAAAAAATTCTATTGGTTTTGAAACAAGGGCTTCATATCACCGCCCCTTTAAACGGACTCTTGAACTTAAAACGGGCATATAGTAGTGATCTTCTGCTTTGGTTTGCAGGACACGCCATCAAGTGCTACCAGTGTAAGTCACCAAAGAGTTGGGATACCTGTGTTCCTGGAAACAATACGGCATGTGCTTCGCCCCTAGACAGCTGCGTGAAATTCAAAATAGAAGGAGAACTGGGAGGCCTAAACGTGAAGTATTTCTACAAAGGATGCGCCTTAAAAACGAGTTGCAACCAGGACGGTTGCAAGGTTGTTGAACAGAGTCTGAAAATGAAGTTGACAACTTGCGATGTTGACTGTTGCGAGACCGACCTATGCAATGGAGCCAAATTACCAATGGTCAGCAGCTTCCTGTTCTTGGCATGCGCTCTAGTAGCTAATTTCCGTTAAAATATACACACAGTAGTTTGAATCTGGCAAGTTACAGTATTTTGCACTAAGTTTTTTTAATTGCAGTTGATCAGTCTAGGTGTTTTGTTTGATTTTACGATTTAATTTCCTCATGTAAATGTAGTGCTGTAATTGTCAGTATTGTTTTCAAAAAATGAATAAATAAAAACATTGTAATTAATTAAAGTCACCGTATAGCCTTGATCAGCCTATTTTTATCCTGGTAGCCTCCTCGCTTTCGTTTGGCTCACAACTTTGAAAAGTAACAATTGTGATTGTGAATATAATCAGAAACATATGAATGGACCTATAACCATGGCGAGGTTTATAACCGGGATTTTGCAGTATTAGTTTTTTTCATTTGAGCATATGGTATAGTCTGCGAATACAAACGTCTCTACTCGCTCCTCGCCGCTAAGGATGTTTCGGGAAACGTCTTTCACGATCGGCGATAGGGTATGGTTTTTGAGGGTCTCCATCCTTAAATAGGGTATCATTTTTGCCCTTGTAAGGCAGTTAAATAAGGGCTACAATAGACCTTTTTACCGATACGGCGGCCATATTGAATTCATTCGATTTAAGGAGTATTATAGGATGCCCAAGGGGCATAAGCACATTTCGTTTGTATTTTCGAGGGCTTTTCGGGACACTTTTTCTTAATGTGTTCTAAGAATAAGATTGTAATGGGAAACAAGATCCTTGTGCCGCGTTTGGGTGTAATAATGATCGCCTTTTTCCCGAGAAATATATAGTGAAAGAACATATTTCTAATACTAAACTAGAAAAAGGCGATCATTATCACATCCAAACGCGGCACAAAGATCTTTTTTCCCATTACAATACTTTAAGAAAAAATGTCCCGAAAAGCGCTCGAAAATACAAACGAAATGTGCTTATGCCCCCTGGGCATCCTACAATACTTCTTAAATCGAATGAATTCATTATGGCTGCCGTATCGGTAAAAAGGTCTATTCGTTACTTTTTTAACGGAAGTTTCCTCATTACAAGTGAAGGCCTCTCATTATTCAAGGTATTTTCTCCAAGATTCATTTTCACGTGAACAGCAGTAACTAACAATGCATTTGAAATATACAAACATACTAGTTATTCAGTTGTGCACGAAAATATGAAACTTGGAGACAATACCCTGAATAATGAGAGGCTCACCATTGTAAACACAAAATTTCTGTCAAAATATTAGCGAATAGTAGCCCTTCTTTTACTGCCTTACAATATATCAATAATCTTGAAACTAAAAGGTCATATAAAAGGAAGGTTAGTGTCAAGAATCTTGAAATTTTTAAAAAAATCTATCGAGCGGTTTAAAAATTATTCGCTAATTTGTTAAAGTAGACCAAAATCAGGGCGGATAAATGTTGGGCGGTGAAACGAGCGCTCCGCTCTTCATTTAATGTGTGATGCGGAGTAGGACTGGCACGAGCGCTCTTTCCGCGCTTCCAGTGCGTTTGAAGGCCGGCGAAATTTTCCTTTTTGCAAACCGGAAATCCTATTTTCTTTCTGTAATTTCAGGCTACAAGGTTAAATAGATAAATTCGTTTGATAACAATATCAATAAACAATTTCATATGTTTGTATCTGCATGCCTATAAGTCAAACTTGTTGCTAGTATAATGCCAAAATTCGAGGTTAATTTGAAAGTGTTGAATACCTTCTCCTGCCACTAAATATCACCTAATCGTCTTTCGCCGTTTCGATTGCAAAAGCTCAACACTTCTTAACCTTTTTTTTTTACATATGTTAAAGGGGGATGAATTTTATATAACATAACAAAAAATTAGATTGATATATTTTGATATAGTGGCGTTGTACTGCTTCAAACTTTGCTTCTCGGGTGCAACGCGCCATGGCGATCGCGCAATGCGTCGCAAATCCGGCAACCGCATGTAAACAAAATTTATTGAGGTTAGTTGTAAGGTTTTTTCTCCCTTTTTCTCTCTAAAACAAAACAAGGTAAACAGTAAAAATTGAGGCGAAAGTAATTTTGAAGTTTCGAAGAAACAGAAAGAGATATGAGATGTTTTTTTTTCAAGATTAAACAGAAGGATGATGGTGATTGAGAAAATTAGCATGATTTCACCTTGCACGAGCTGCACGCATTTATAAAATACACGTCATCTAGTTATGAAACACCATCTTAGTTTTGCGATGGACGGACATGGATGAGATTTGTTTTAGACAGTACTTGTTTTTGTTTTGGAATAACATCGACATTGGCGAGTAGTAGAACGAAAATATAATTCAGTGGTAGAGTCATGGAAGTAATAAGAGAAACCCTTTGAAAAAGATGTTTGTCTACTCCAACTAAACCTCCCGCAAAAATAGGAACATTTGCCTCTCGGAGACAGCGTACCAGCACAAACGAACGAGGAAGAAGTGCAAGAAAACAAATCAAGCCGCCATAATTCAGTGACAGCGGCAATGTCTAATGGACAAACCACATCGCAAGCACTCTAAGCAGAGTGCCAGTCCACTGCATTACACCTTTTTGCTTGGAAGCGCTCGTTTCACCGCCCAACCTCCCTGACCAAAATGTTCAAAAACCGCTAACAAGAGCGCCTCGATACATGCTAATGGCCAATTTTGCTTAAACTTCACAGACATCGAGGCGGCTATTGGAGAAAAAAGCTCCCGTGTATGAAATACTGCTGTAAGTAAAATAGGTCATAGCGTCATTTCGTTGCTATGACAACTCCGATGTCATGGCGACCCTGATCATAACAAATTTTCATCTTTATCTAATCAACAGAGAATGATCGCTGATTCTCTCTTGATCTAATACAACTGTGGTGGCAATTTCTCCAAAACTTTGTTTATGGCGACGTAGTTTATGCTCAAACTTGGGAGATATTGACCCTGAAAAACTGTATCGAGCCACCTTAAGGCGGACTAAGGAATTGATAAGTCAGGACTTCTTGCAGTTCGCTGAGGCCATTTTAGTATTTACGAGTGCACCTTCCACGATTATTTCAGCGTAGTCTGCACGACGCATTGGAAGAATTCGCTTGATACTGCCTCTGTAATCTTTGAATTTCCAATATTGGCTCATGGCACAAGTTTCCGCTGCACTCTCAATATTCGATCAAATTTTCTGAATTTTTCACAACCACAAGGCTCTCACAGATTATCCACTGCCTGTCTTTTTCCTCATTTTTTCCAACAATCGCAAAACGGAAGGAACACTGGCGAAAGAAATCCCAATCCATTAATTTTATCTGTATGCCATTTATAGTACGTTTTATCTTTATTGGCGTTTTACTATTCAATTTTTAAACGTTATATGTGAACCTAGTTTAAATTCACTTTAACGTACGTTTCCGCACGGCCTTTCATCCAAGTCCTCTTCTTTATTAAAGTAGGTAAATCTTACCCGGCCCACGTAGCCGGGCAGCCAGGTTAAAATTATGCCACAGTAGCTAAGAGATCCACCCTTACTAGGACAGTATCAATGCAAGCGAATTCTTCAAATGTGTACACTGAGATAATCAAATGGTCTCTCAGTGAACTGCAGGCGAATTACGTTTGGTAATCATTCCTTAGTCCGCCTTAAGGCGTTGAGCGATTTCAATTTTACCTGAACAGCTCAAGTCGCCGGTTCTCTCTTTGCCTTTTTGCCATTATATTTCATTTGTCAGCAAGATTTGGATATCGTCATGGTTATGAAAGGTTCAGCATTTACGAGAAACAAAGGGATGTGGCCCGGCACAGAGATATTCTTATCTGAAAGGGACGGGGAATCAAATCTGAACGTGACTTAAGAGTTGCTTTACTTCCAGAAGTTACGATTCTAAAAACGACAGCTAAATAAAGTCTACTTTTACTCTAATCCGATTCAGAAGCCGTCACGACATTACTTGTTTCTTCTTAGTTTTGCTTTCATTACTCCTTAAAGCACATCCACCAGCGATACCTGTTTTAGGAAAGTGATGAATTGACGTTCCGATCCTTGCTGGTGATATCAAAATCTGCACGTTACACCCCTAAAGGAGACGACGAGTGTTCCGCCCTTTTTCATATGGAGCTAATGCCCTGATACTTCAGCACTTTTAAGTACTGGTATTGATGAAAACATATGATTTCAATTCGTTTGAAAAAATCTTTTACATGCTTAGAAATATTTTCTGATTGGCCAGTGTCACTCAAGAATTTGTGTACATATATATATATATATATTTAGTATATACTAAAACAGTGGATAGTGTTTTTCGCGCGCTCTGATTGGCTACTCAATCAGTGAATATCCTGCACTATTCACTGATTCACCTCCAGTTCCTCGGAGCAAGCGACGCCAAACTTGCGTAAGTTGCAAGCAAAATGCCTTCCCGGTTTGCTGCCGTAAACAAACAAAGAAATTTCACAACAAATCAAGCAAGCTGTTTCCGAAATACACGAAGAAGGTGATGAAGTTCGGATTGGAAGTTTTAACAGGTAAAGCTTTGTCTTTTTGACACGAATTTATCGATAAAACCGGTGAAAAAGTTTTTTGTTTACAAATGCAAATTAAGCTTAAGTCTTGCTTACTTTATTTAGTTGTTCATGAATAAGCTTAAAACTAAATTTAATAATCTTTTTTTTATAGAATGATTTTAAATACAAAAAGACCTCACAACTCCTTTTGAAGAAATTTCCCCGCAAGAGCTAAACAAATGCCGCTTCAAAAGTTTTAGTTGTCGGCAAGAAAAAGCGACGGCCGCGGCCGCCCGGTCATTACGCGCCAAAATTTTAATCGTTGGCAACAGCATTTGAGTTAAAAATCGTCATTTTTGTGCTCAATTATCTCACTGTTTTAGTATATACTAAAACAATTATTCACCTCAGTGTCGGTGGCTAATCGTGGATATTTACCTCACTGCTTCGCAATTCGGTAAATATTCAGGACTAGCCACCTCCACTTCGGTGAATAATTGTTATATATATATATATATATGTTGCATAAAAAAACGGTCCTTGTAAAAAAGCGTCATTTTTATGTAAAAAAGCTG